ATGTAAATAAAATATCCAATAAAAAATTCAAAAAAAAAAGAGATAGAGAGAATGGAAAAAAATGGGCTACAGACCTAAACAGAAAATTCTCATTAAAGAAATCTTTTAATGACTGAGAAACACTTAAAGAAAAATTCACATTCTTGGTTATTAGAGAAACACAAATCAAAATGACTCTAAGATTCCACCTTATACCCATCAGAATGGCTTAGACCAAAAACTCAAGGGACGGAACATGCTGGTGAAAATCTGGAGCAAGTGAAACACTCCTCCATTGCTAGTGGGAGTGCAAACATGTACAACTACTCTGGAAATCAATTTATCGGTATCTCAGAAAATTGGGAATAGTTCTACCTCAAGACCCAGCTATATCACTCCTGGGCATATACCCAAAAGATGTTCTACCATCCCACAAGAGGCCACCACTTTTTTATATGCATATGAATATATTAGAATAAGCTTTTCACATAACTCTTTCAAAAGGCTTTTAGTGCTAGTGCCTCCCAGGACTTGATAATAAAATTCTATTTTACAAGGTATCACATATTCGAATTGAAGAACATGTTGGGATAAAGAAGCAAGTACCTTAGAAACTTTTTTTTTCTAGTGCCTACTTCTCCTAGGTCTGGTAAGTGTCCATGCTACTGGAGAATTATTATTGTCAACTTTCCCAGCTATGAAACCTGCAAGCTACAACAATGAGTTACTGGAAATGCATACCCCGTGGTGTAATAGTTGTATAAAAGTTGCTAGAGTAACTACATACGTTCTGATTGGATTTAAGATGTACTCTACAGGATGGATGCCGTGCCTTGTACATCTATCAGGACATACAACACTTTACTAAATAGTTCTTAGATACTAGAGGAAAACTACTACAATTACTCGGCTGTGAATGGTTATACTGTCCAGAATGCTCCTAGTGAATTATCACTATACCAGTAGTTCAGTGCATATCTCATCAGAGAAGCTTCCTTCTGTAGATGGCGGTCAGCATAGGGACCCACAACTGGTTATCATAGTGAGAATGGGGGCTTCAGGGTGCTTAGATCTAAATGGGACTTTTATAAAACATCCCTCTTCCCAAGGCCCAGGAATCAAATTAGTCTACATAAGCTAAGTTATCTTGCCACCCCCATGAATTCATTTTATAAATAAAATTATAGTGTTGAGAGGGAAGTCATATGCATTTTTGCCAACAGATTTTGACGAAGTTCTACTTAACCTTAAACCATGTCCACATGATTTTCAAGGACTATGAGAAAACTGTGATGGCATCATTATCAACTGTGACACAGAAGCCACTCTATCACTCAGTTCACCTCCATTTGTTTTTTTTATCCAGTTTAATTTTTGTTGCATTACCATCAGAAATGATACAATGAGCTATCTGATCTTTTTGAATTTGTAATTATTTGTTTTGTGGCCTGCAAGGCGGTCTATTTTAGAAAAGCTTCAGGGACTTGAGTCTGCATGAGTGTGGGTTCTGAACTGTGATATTTCAAAGGGAAGGACCAGGGATAAGAAAATAAACAGGACAGAAAGCTGAGGTCAGGAGGACTAATTAAGCTGGTGGCTCATACTGGCAAGTTTATTAAGGGGGACTATATCTTATATACTGTTTGCAGTGGGAAACAACATCATCATAAAGCAATCACAGATCAGGAGGGAATCTGCAGGAAGCTTATCAATCAATGTTGTGTAAAGGGAATATACACTCCAAAGTGTCTTACAGACCAAGCACACTCGGAGCTGATAACTACCAACTTTCTGGGGATAAATAGAATTCCCAGGAATTAAAAACTTGACTCCCTCAAGGTCATGAACCCACTCCCACCAGTAGTAAAGAACACAGCAGTAAAGTGCCCTTTATCCTTTTATCAAGGCCTCTGAGAAAGCCTTGGATAGGTCTTGTCCCCATTGCTTTCCGGTGTTGATGAGAAGAATGTGTGTATCCGCTGGTGTTTGGGTATCCTGTTCTATAGATATGTGCTAAGTAATCTTGATACATGATGTCAATTAATTTTATTTCTTTGTATACTTTTTGTCTAGATAATATGTCTAATGGAAAAAGTGCAGTATTGAAATCATCCATTAACATGTTGCCATTAATCTGCACTTTTAAACATAGTAGTAAATTTTTGCAAAATAGAGTGCATCTCAAAGTTTGGTGCATGTATGTTGAAGACAAGAGGTATTCTTGATTAACTTTTCCCTTTATTAGAATTTATTAGTTAAGCCTGCTTGCTTCCTGATCTCATTTGATTGGAGTAATTTTATCTATCCTTGAACACTAAGATAGTGCCTTTCTTTAAAGCTATGGTGCATTTATTGCAGACAACAGATAAATAGATTTTGTTTTTTGATGTATTCAATCAGCCAATCTTGTATGTGTTGACTTAGTCATCATGCTGTTGATTTTTGATGTCATCGATTGTGTATTCAGTGGTACTCTTTGTCATATTTATATTCATAGTATAGACGCTATGCTCATTCATTTCTTTGGCCTGTTCTATTATTTCCTATATTTCCTTTAGGTTTGGTTTGTTAGGTATAACATGTTTAAGCTGTTTATGTCGTGGAGTTTTTTCATTCTCCTTTAATCATGGAATTGTTTTTCTGTGTATTATTCTAGATTGCAGCAGTTTTAGGATTTTAGGACTTGGGACACATTGTTCCAGTCTCCTCTAGTTTTCGAGCTTCCTAATGAGAATTCCCCCCTTGTGTAGATAGAAATATGATGCTATTTGGGGAGGCCAAAATCTTGGCTGTAGTGCATGGTGGGTGATCAGGTGAGCCCCAGACACTATTTTAAGAACAGGATCCTGTCTGACTTTAAAATTTGATTTGTAAACATTAATAGGGAATTTCATTTCATTTCATAAGAAAGCAGAATTTTCTTATATTTATTTGTCCAACACAAATTTGCAAATATCTTTTTGATCTCATTTTATAGTCAAACAAATTGGCCAAGGATTGGGTGTTAGGAACTATCATTTTTTTTATAGGTATTTAAGGGAAAATATCCAAGCTTAAATTATCTATCCATAGTTTCAATAGGAAACAATGAAACTCTGAATTAATAGAACCAAACTGTCCCCTCATTCCATAATTAGAAACACTTCATAATGAGAAACACTCAGCCAGGTAGTGGTGGCGCATACCTTTAATCCCAGCACTTGGGAGGTAGAGGAAGGTGGATTTTTGAGTTCGAGGCCAGCCTGATCTACAGAGTGAGTTCCAGGACAGCCAGGGCTACCAGGGCTATACAGAGAAACCCTGTCTCGAAAAAACAAAACAAAACAAAAAAAAAGAAGGGAGAGAGTGAGAGAGAGAGAGAGAGAGAGAGAGAGAGAGAGAGAGAGAGAGAGAGAGAGAGAGAGAAACACTCATCCCTGAGGTGATGACCAGTGCTAACTTGAATATGTAGTTCTCTATACTAGTATTAGAGATCAAAGGGAAGAAAGTATGGATCATTGTTGAGGGTTTTAATGGTTTTAATGGCTGTCCCATGGCTGTGCAAGGCTACTCCCTAAGGAGAGACTTTGGTCTTGGAATTTCTGTAATAAGGTAGAGACTTCAGAGACTTGAGATCATAATTCTGGGTGTGATATTTCATTATCATGCTGAAACTCTAGGTAGTATAGTGGTGTTATGTTGGAGAGATTTTGTGTACCTGACACATGTAGTCATCTGAGTGGAGAAAAACTCAAATGAGAAAATGCCCCTATAAGATTGAGCTATAGACAATTCTGTAGAAGATTTATCATTTAATGATGTATGGAGGGAGGGGGTACACACTGTGGACAGTGCTATTTCTAGACTGTTTATACATGATTCTCTGAGAAAGCAGGAAGAGCAAGCCAGTAAATGTCAGCCCATCCAAGGGCTCTACATCAGCTCTGTTTTAAGTTCCTGCCCTGACTGCCTTTGATGACAGACAGGGATAAGAAAGTGTAAGGCAAATGTCCCCTTTGCTTCTCAGGTTGCCTTTCTCCTGATGTCTTATCACAGCAATAGTAACAAAGTAGTCCAGTCATGCAGGGGAGTTTCGAAATCTGTGAGAAATCCACCTGCAGAGTGAGAGCTACTGCTACCATGCAGGTGAGAGCTGAGACTACATCAATCATGACAGGGACCTCAGACTGTTCCCTCAAGTTTCCAGTCTCACTCTGGCTTTCCTAGGGGCAGATTCTAGTCGACAGGAGTTGTCACCAGGAAATAGGATTTGGAGGTTGCTTCTCTCTAGGTGACAAAGCAGAATGAAAAGGGGAATAGGCTTTAGAGCCTAGAGAAATCAAATACAAAGAAACACATTTAGAGGCCCATGGCTTAGACCTATGCTGTGGAAGCAGACTTCAATTCTTTTAAAAATTAGGCAACACTTTGATTACAACAAAGAAAAGTATGGCTGAGGTAAGACTTCCTTTTATTTGGTGGTGATGCTTTTGAAATGCAAGCAGAGAGGTCTCTTGAACTTCACACACACACACACACACACACACACACACAGATAGAGAGAGAAACAGAGAAACAGAGAAACAGAGATGGGGGAGAGGGAGAGGGAGAGGGAGAGGGAGAGGGAGAGGGAGA